TCGGCCGCGACAGCGATGACAGCGGCCTGCTGGGGAGTGGCACCGGCTTCAATCGCCGCCTGGATGACTTCAAGCACCGGCGCCGGCGTAGCATCCGACGATGTCGTGGTAATGGCCTCGTCGAAGATGTTGGTGGCCGTGTTGGCGTTGTCGTTGATGTTGTTGGCCGAGGCGCTCGTATCTTGAGCATGGACATTACGGGCAGCGACGAAGAGAAGGCCGACAACAGCAACACGCGAGAGTCTCATAGTGGATAAACGACGGAAGGTGGGTCACAGACGACGGACGGAACAGAGAACGCGATGTACTCTCGGGGTTGCAAATTGCAAGATGAATGAAGTGGAGTCGTTGTTGCGGTTGTTGTGGGCGGCTTTGTATGGCACTGAGGTTTGCATAGAAGAACGAAGTACACTCTATCTTGACTGTCGTAGCTAACTTTCGAAGATAGTCGTTCGAAAGATACGATTGGCACCAGCGATCAGGTATACAATGATCGAAATATGTCAATCTTGCTGCGTGACCATTCAGGTCTGTGGCGACGCGGTGGCCGTCGAGAGTAGCTAATGAATGACAGGGTGTCCCCTGCGAAGTTATTGCACGTGATATTGGCTTGACAATTCCAACAGACAATCCCCGATGTTAAGGTACATGACTATAGTACTTTCGATATGCAGGTCATCATGCCCCAGTGCTTTTACATTATTAAGCACTGTCAATACTGTCAATACTGTACGCGCTTCGCACCTGCCATTGTGTTTGTCGCTGCCGCATCAACCGCGGATTTGATTTCTTGGGCAGCTCCACGAACAATTGCAATCACTGAGACGCTAATTTTCTTCATTATGTACGACCTAATGGGAGTTTGGTCACTCGTGACTCCACAAGTACCAGTAGTTCCGATACATCCCTGCAGTTTGAAGCCGCATTACCAAAACAGCAGTGTTAAAACAGCTGGTAGGCGGCCAAGTCGAGCGGCTGGGATGCGTCGCATGTCGTCGTAAGAGCACCAGTGCAGTTGGCGGGCGGGCCGGCAACCATGAAAGAGCCACCAGTACTCGGCGACGATTTGGCCCAGCAAGTCCGGACAGCGACGAGGCGGTTCGGCGCTTCACCAGCGACTTTGGAGCACAAGATGTTGACGTTCGCCGGATACAACTGCGCAATGTCATTGACCATAGGAGCCGTACCCGCATCGGCCCAGTCGCTAATAGTCTGCGTTGCCTCGGCCACGCGATCGCTCGCGTTCAAGACGGCACGAAAGTACTGGGCCGCCGCGCGGTCGTAGT